CCAAGGTTCCTAAACCCTCACCCCAATGGTGAGGATGCAAAACCTCCCTTGCCTTCACATCCAGCCCTCCGTGGCTGTCCTTGCAAGCTGCGGCCAATACGCAGCTTCATGCCGCGTCTTTTTTTTTTTCAACTAATTAATTAAACAAAATTGATAATAATAACAATAATAATAATAACAAAAACAACTTAATTAACATTGGATAAAAATAAATAAACTAGAAACAACAAAATGCAACTTTCCATTTTTCCTTTTTATTATTTTTTATTATTTTTTATTTTTTTCATTTTTCACTTTTTTTTTCTTTTTCTTTAAGAAAACATTGTATTAAAACAACTCAACATATTTTTTGAATATTTTTCCTTTTTTTTTCTTTTTTTCTAGAAATTCTACGCTAAGAATAAAAACTAAACTAAAAAAAACTAAAAACTAAAAAGTGAATAAAACTAAAATAAAAAACTGAAAATAAAAAGTAAATGAAATTATACCAAAAATTTGGTGTTTACATACATGTCAATTAAGTTCAAGCAAGTACAAGATCATTCAAGAAGGGGAGAACAAGTGTGATAAAATACACTCTCGCCTTATCAAGTTCAATATTCAACACATAACACGAGGTATCATTCATATCAAGATATCAAGAAACATGTACTTGATACTCACTAGTTTAAACAAAATAACGTCAAATGTTTGCCCTCGGGTTATACCCTTGATCACCAACAAACCCTAAGAACAACCAAGATAGAGTATTATGGTTCAACCATTCAAAACTTAGGTGAACCAAAGAAAATCCAAATAACTACTAGTGCAAAGGTGTAAATTTGCCAAGGGACATGAGTAACCAAAGAATTCCTTATTCCAATTTATGGCTGTAATTTTCAGCAACAAATAGCTAAAAAGACAACCAACCTCGAGGTTAAAGTGAAACAAATACAACTAAAAAGCATACTAGAAGAAACCATCACTTTTCCTCTTATTTTACACATGATTTTGTCAAAATTTCAGCTTTTACACTACCATCAAAGTGCACTCAAGAAATCACATGTAACCTAAGCCCAAACCAATCAACAGGTTACATGTAAGTGAATTACTAACAAAAAAACTCAACTTTCTTTCATGGTTCAAGTACAAATCATGCAATGCCTCATAGTGTGAATATAAGGCATGAATGATGAGGAGGTCGAGAGAGCTATCCAAGTGGAGCAAGTGAGGGTACCATTGGGGCTTATGACACGAGCTCGCGCGAAGAGATTGAATGAGACACTGCAAACATTGGTTCATGCGGCCCGAGAGTCAAGTGGAAAGTCAAAGGCCATTGAGAGCCTCAACGAAACTAGGCTCGTTGTCCTAGTCTCGGCCATCACTGAAAATTAGAAACCCATGATTCGGCTAAGGGGGTCCATGGCCCATTACTAATTTAGTAGAGTGTAATAAAGAGGTCTAAGCCATGTGGGCCGTAGGCCCAATAGCACTTTTAGTTAGTTAACGAGTTAGTCCCTACGCTGAGTTGGTTCGGGAGTCTCGTTGCCCGGTTAGCGAGTCGAGGGTCCAGGGGGCAACGCGCCCCGGTGGGAGCTTGGGGGCAACGCCCCCCGAGCTTACGGTACGTATGTTGTGTCGCTAGTGTCGACCCAAAGAGAAGCCCAAGAGTTGGCCGAATTTCCTTCATGTTTTCCAAGCTTTGTCAGGCCTTAGTCACGGCTACAAATAGTCTTAAGTCATTGTTTACATTCATTTTTTGATGATTAAGAAAATTACATTGAGAGTTCTCTCAAATCTTCATTGAAGCACCTTGAATATCTTAGATTTTTATTTTAGGTATTCAATTGACTTATCAATCTAGGACCGCGCTAGATTGTGGCGTCTTTTACAAATACCGAGATTCGTTGACCACGTGATCAACGGGTTTAGTTGATCCGTTGCGTTCGTCATCTTCAATGTGAGTCTCTACCTTCTAGATCCAAACCTTTCTGTACGGGTTGCATCACAAGATTGGTGCCGTTCGTATCAGCTGGCATCAGAGTTAGTTGAAGGTATCACGTATATCTCTTGTTTTCTTGTTCCTTGTGTCGTTGTTTTTTTCTCTCGTTTGTGTCATTTTCCTTCTCTTGTTTTGTGCTAAATTCTGTCCGTGTTGTCTTCAATCTGCCCACATAAGTTCGAATATGTTTTGTCGTGTTTTTGAGTAAAAAAAAAATCTGTCCAAAGCATATACAATCTGTCCAAGTCAGTCCGCAATTGTTTTCTCTTGTCTTGCGTTGAAAAATCCTGTTTTATGGTTGGTTGTCGCGTCTTTGTCTTATTTGTCGAGTTGTTGGGGCTGCCACACCTTGTGGTGAGTCCGTGAGTCTTTAGGGTTTAGGGTTCTTGCGTCAAAAAAAAAGGGGAAAGAAAAGAGAAAAGAGTGGCTGCCATACCTTGTTTACCCTTGACTGTTCGACTTTAGGGTTTTGTTGTCACGGGTGGATAACCATTGTGGGCTGTCCGAATTGTCTACTTGCAAACCGTGAACCTTGTGGACTGTTTTGGGGGGTTGAGCACCGTGACTTGGGAGTTGTACTACAAACATTGTGAATCTTGAAGTCTTGATTGATACTTACATCAAATCTGGAAATTCTTGAAACACTAGATTTGGGTCTTGAAATTTTTGGAAACAACCCAAGTGTATTGGGCGTAATTGGGCAAGTGCATCGAATCTGGTTTGGTTTCCTTCTTGGCCGCACACAAATTCCTTGTGGCCAGCCAAGTCCAAAACCCTAGCCGTCCATTATTCTTTTGCTTTGTCATTAAAAAAAAAAAGCAAGCAAAATAATTATTTCGGCCAAGCCAAATTCCAGAATTTTATTGCCAACCAGTCGAAGTGTTACATAGTGGACCGAACTACAAGCTAAAAAAACAAATCAAAAGTTTTGGTCTACTACTTCTTGGAATTCTTGAACACTTTGGGTCTTGGGAATTTGTCTCACTCGTCTTTTGAAAAGTTTCTTGTACTCCCGAGCCGTGGTGAAGGGTTTCCTTGGTTTTGGAGTAAACTTTGTGGGAACATCTTGGGGGGGGGGAGCCTGAGAAGGGTTAGTCAAATCACCTTGATTTTCCATCACTAGTTGTTTTTGTTTGAGGGAGCCGAATTGTCAAGTGCTTGAGATCAGTTTTTGCAGCACTTGATTGTTATCTTGTGAGGGATAAAAGTCATGGCCTTGAGGTATTAATAACTTAGGGTAACTATGACCTTTGATTGGCTTTCCAAAACCAAATTGGTTTCCTAACCTTGAGGTTTCCTAATTGTGAAAGTTTCCAAAAATCAATTACCTAAATTTTCTCCTAAATTTTCTTCCCTCTTCCTACCTTGTAGCCGCCCCTCTCACCTAGTTTTTAGGGTTTCTTTAGCCATCCTTCTTACACTCCCAAACCACCACTTTTACCCCAATTTTTAGGGAAGTTTTTCCTACATTTTAGCCTCTACTTACTCCTACACTTTAGGAGTTTCTTTAGCCTTTTTATTTTCTTTTTTCTTTTCGGCCCTATCCCTACATTCTAGGAAGCTGACCACCACTTTTCCAACCTTCTAGAAAAATCATTCGGATCTACCAACAAGCAAAGGCAGCTTGCGTTTTCAAAAAAAAAAAAGGAGTATTTTTCTCTTTTGCGTCGTGTCTTCTGTTCTTCATTTCTATCAGTGTCTTAGTCCTCTTTGTTTCCTTTAATTTGAGCCTGACCATTTCATTTTCCCTCGAGTCAATTATTGCATTATTCGCTATTCCATTGAGGATTGCCACCCTCTCGTGCTCCGACATTGGAAGTTGATTGTTGCCTGGGAGGAGTTCTAATTTCTTCAAAGTAAGCTATCAAAAGGGTTTTGAGAGTATTGGTGAGATTATTAGAGTGCTCTTTGAGTGACATACACGAGAGTTGAGTGTAAACACGCGAGGGAGTGTGTGAGGAATATATACTTGTTTCTTTTCTACTAATTTTTGCAGGAGACCTACATCATGTCGGAGGAGAGCGACGCATCCAAATTTGACTCCAAGTTGCACAATCAAGCGATGATACAGGAGTTCCAATGCATGCTTAGGGAGTCCATGGCATCCCTACACCAGTGGATGGACCACTTAGAGCTTTCTCAAGCTCGGTCCAACGCTGCCCATCGAGATGCACCATCTGGCGAGGAGTTAGCTTCTAATAGCGAGGAAGATGACTTCATCCGTCGGCCCAAGTAGGACTACCAGAGAACCGATGACGGATTAAAGGGGGTCAAGATCAAGATTCTCTCATTCCAAAGCAAGTCTAGTCCAGAGGCTTACCTAGAATGGGAACAGCGAATCGAGATAGTATTCGAGTGCCAGGACTACACCGATGAACAAAAAGTCAAATTGGTAACCCTCGAATTCACTGATTACAATATTGTCTGGTGGGAGCAGGAGCGCACTAGTAGGCGCCACAATAGAGAGCGGGCCATTAGTACATAGGAGAAGTTACGAACCACTATGAGAAAACGGTTCGTACCCAACCATTACTACCGCGATCTATATCAGAGGCTACAGACATTAGTTCAAGGAAGCCGCAGTGTGGAGGACTACTACAAGGAGATGGAGATCACCATGCTCCGAGTAGACATTGTGGAGGATAGAGAGGCTACCATGGCGAGATTTCTTAATGGCCTGAGACCTGAGATCGCCGAGGTGGTGGAGTTGAAAAACTATGTGGACATGCCTGAGTTAATTGATAAGACATCCAAGATCGAGAAGAGGTTTAAGAGGAGGGGTAACCCTCGAAACCCTAGCTTCTCAGCCACGCCTCTTTGGAGGGGCAATTCGACCTTTGAGCGGGAACGGCCTAGTACAGGGGTGTTTAAATTCACTCCTAAGTCCGAGCCACCAAAGCAGGCACCCAAGGCAACCACCAAGTCTCTATTCGACTCCTCCAAGCCATGAAGCCGTGACAAGTTCTTCAAATGCCAAGAATTTGGACACATTGCTTCTCAGTGTTCCAATAGGCGTACTATGATTGTCCTACCGAGCGGAGATGTCGTATCTGACGACGAGGACGAGTTCGCTAAGATGCTTTCATTGATTGATGAAGGTGATGATTCCGAGGTGGAGGTTGAGGCCACTACTGAGCATGTGGGTGTTGCTCTAGTAGCCCGTCGAGTTTTTCCGACCCAGGTTAAGAGAGTGGATGAGACCCACCGTGATAATATTTTCTACACACGGTGTCACGTCAAAGGAAGAGTATGTAGCCTCATCATCGATACGGGTAGTTGTACCAACGTGACAAGCACTCTCATGGTAGATCATCTTTTCTTGCCCACGTTGAGGCACCCTAGTCCATACTGCTTACAATGACTTAATGAGAGTGGGAATATCAAAGTCATCAAACAAGTGGTGGTGCATTTCCGAATTGGGAAGTATGAGGACGAGATCCTTTGCGACGTCATTCCCATGCAAGCTTCTCACATTTTGTTGGGACGACCATGGCAATATGACAAGAAGACTACTCATGATGGCTTTACCAACAAGTACTCCTTCTTGCACCACAACAAGAAGATGATACTTGTTCCTCTCACCCCTCAGCAGATGCATGAAGATCAACTGCGATTGCAACAGGAGCATGAACGAGAGTTGGCGAAGAAATCAACCGATTCTAAAGCAATCATTAAGGCACCAGTCAAGAGGACATCTACCCCTGGATCATCTAGTCGAATGGAGAAACGGTCCAACTTGTTTGCCAAGAACAGGGAAATTCGTAACTTACTTTTGTCTAAACAAGTTGTCTATGTTTTATATTGCAAAGAGGTGATTTTACTTTCTCATGAAACACTCCATGATTTACCTCTTGATATCTCCTCTTTATTACAGGAATTTGAGAACGTTTTTCCAGATGAGATCTCCAATGGTCTACCACCACTTAGAGGGATCGAGCACCAGATCGACTTCATTCTTGGAACATCCTTGCCTAACAGACCGGCCTACAAAATGGATCCTGAGGAGACTAATGAGATCCAACGGCAAGTAGATGAGCTATTAGAGAGAGGTTGGGCTCGAGAGAGCATGAGTCCATGTGCAGTTCTAGTCATTCTCATCCCCAAGAAGGAAGGCACTTGAAGGATGTGTGTAGATTGCCGTGCTGTCAATGCCATCATAATTAAGTATCGTCACCCTATACCTCGTTTAGATGATATGCTTGATGAATTGTATGGTGCAGTCATATTTACCAAGATAGATTTTAAGAGTGGCTACTGTGAAGACCCGTAATTTTCTTATTTTCTAGGTTTTATCCTATTTAATTACATGCTTTTCTGCATTTTCTTTATTAGGAAAAATTTTCTAGATAAGTTTTATAAGTAAATATAGTTTTAAAATAATTTTTCTAGTATCGGTTAGTTTTTGAGAAATTAAGAACGTATACCGGACGTGGGACCCGCTAGTACGAAAAGTTCAGCAAAATTCGGCCAGTTAGGTTAAGTTCTGGATACCGGGTTTACTTTAGCAGGTGTTAAGAGATAACTAGAGATTACTAAAGGGATTAGTGTGAGAGGGAACAAAAGGATAGTTATGCATTAAATAGGGTGACAAGTGTCACATTGTGACTAATTCTTACCTTTTGACCACACTATTCATTACTTTACCAATTATATCATAAAATTGCCAAAAATAATCCAAAAATTTAAGCTTCTTGGCCGGCCACCATTCAAGAAAAAAGGGAAGAAAACTCTCCATTTTCTTAGCTCCAATCTTCAATTCTAACCGTTTAAACTTAGATTTCCTCCATAAAAACCTTTAGTTTAGTGTTTGTGTGGCTATTGTTGGAAGTGGTTTGGAAGGAATTGGTGCATAGTTGCTTGTTCTCTTGAGTTGCAAGGTGACTGACTTAAGAACCTTTCTTGTGTTCTTGATAGTGTTAAATTTGTGGCTTGTATGAGTTAAATAGATGGATTTAGGTGTTATTTCATGAGTTTAGTTGAGATTGATGACATTTTTCTATTTAATCATGATTTTTCTGCTCTCATATGTTTAATATTGTGTGGCCATGGATGATGACTTGGTATAGCCTAAAATGAAGCTATTGTGTATAAATTGTAGTTATTTGCGGAAATTTCCGTTTTGTACCAAAATTTCCAGATTAGGGTTTCTTTTTTCCCCAATTCTGCCCGGTACTGTTACACCTAGCTAGAGGCCGAATTAGCCTTAGGTTAAAACATGAAAGTTGTAGAGAATGATGTTTATAGTTAGCTGTAAAATTTCAGCCCAATCTGAGCTCGGTAGCTTGTGAAAAGTCGGAAATACCCAGACTGGCCTAGGTAGGAGTTCAGCGAGCAGGGTTGTTATTTCACCCAATCTGACCGTGACTTTTCACCCTGATCCTTACCGAATTAGATTTTTGCCAAAACATGAAAGTTGTAGCCAATAGTATAAACTAGTTGCCTGCAAAATTTCAGCCGATCCTAGTACTGTATCTTGTGAAATGACCGAAATACCCTTGACTATCCATGAACCCTGTTTCGTGTCCAGATTTTTATTTTCGTAGAGTTTTCCATTTTTGACCATGAAAATGCATGATTTGGCCTTGGAGGTCTTCATAAGAAATGTAGGTATATGTCTTATCTTTCCAACGCCCCTGGAATCACCTCGTTTTGACTTCGGTAGCCTGAGTTATTGTCATTTACGCATAAAGCGGTTAACCCCCCCGAATGTGAGATTCTGGTTCTGTGAATGGCAATTTTGACTTAGATACACTACAAATTGGACTGAGTGTTCTTCATCAAAGTTTTAGCTCTTTGTCATAGCTTCGAAACGGTATAACTTACACCCCAATCCGATAAGTGTAGCTCTATTTGTGACCTTTCCGCTAAATAACATCAAAACTGTCTTTTGTTTTGAACGTAAACTTCATTTCCGCACATGTCCCTTGCTTGGCTATACACTTATACGTTCTTTCGGGCCTTATTTTGGTGGTGTGTGTGTGATTTTGGGATTGATTGAGGAAAACAATGAAGCCATAAATGGCTGGAAAATAGGTAAATACAGAGGACATGCTGCCCAAAATTTTAGGGCTACGCAATTCTTTCAAATTGAGTTAGTCTTGGTAAAAATGATGGATTTTGAGAGTTGTTTGTTACCCTAGAACCAACTGTTATCATTTTTTCTCAAAAGTCATATTTTATTCTTTTGTACTAGTACTTAACCTAGAAAGGCGTACGACTTGTAGTCGAGCCTCACTTGTGCATTTCGTTTACTCGATTTTGGATGTGAAACCTTTAATTGTTTTACTTTAATAATTTTAGGGTTTCTTGGCGATTAAAGCCAGAGTGAAGTGAAAACTTTTTTGAAGTATCTGTACTTGAACCGGTGAGTGTACTGCTCCCCTTATTTGTTGCTTAACTTGGTTTCCGTACATGCACTCTGTGATTTTATTGACTGTATTATCTGTTTATTCCGTTTGAGACAAGGGTGTATTTTATCACACTCGTTTTCTTGTCTGTCCGTATGCCTAGTTATTGTGTATACTTGAATCTGATATCTGTACCTGAGTCTGTTTGGACGTCGTTTGGATTATTGTATCCAACGATCTTTCTGTGACATTTGAGCTCATAACCCGTGGCTAGTTACTCGAGTCGAGCCGGCAAGGGCCTGGTCGATTAGATAACGAACCACGGTAGTCTGATTTTGGGAATCTTTGGGTATTGAGACTCTTGATTCCGGTATACTCGAGTATTACAATTTCTGTTTCCGTTGAGGTGTTTGGGCCCAGTAAGAGGTGTTTGGTGGACGAAATTTGGTGTAAAGTGGGGTCTACAGACGCGTTGGTTCTATATATGTTGACGGAGAGTCAACCGGCTTGGATCAAGTACTGCACTGGAAAACTGGCTCCTGAGAGCCACCTGTACCCTTCCTATTTGAGTCCTTGTTTAATTGTTTTACTTTATTGCGGGCATGTGTATCTGATTTGTATAATGTGAAATGCCATGATTTTACTGCTACATGTTTGGTACCTCATTGAGCGTAAGCTCACCCCCTCCTCGTTATCTTTGTTTTCCTTACAGGAACACTGTGACGCCCCACATCTCCCTAAAGCGGACCAAAGGGTATCCGCGGACGCCTGCCCAGCTCACGCCAGGACTCAAGCAATTCCATTCAATTTAAAATCGAACTAAACACTTCGATGAGATCAACACGAATACAATAATGCGGAAGCGTTCAAGCTTAACAAGTCACTTAATGTATCACCAGTACATCGGGTAGTCATGAAACGACTTAAATTCAAAGTACACATCAGGGTCCAAACTTTTCAAGTTTACAATTTCCACAAGTACAACCCAAACCAGGGCCTAGTCAAAATATATAACAGGAGTCTTAACAAAATTACAACGGATGGTTTCTCCATATCTCTCCAAGAGTCGGTCCTGTTAAGGAAAACAAAACTATAGGGTGAGCTAAACGCTCGTGAGGCCAAGAACACACATGCAAGCACTTAGTCAAATAACAATCCCAGATTTAATAAATAAAGCCATGTCTTTTCAATAATCAATCAATCAAACAGGAAAAGTAATCAGAAACAATTCAAGGATATAGTAGCTCTCAGGAGCTAAGTTCCACTTGATCTGCCGTTGTCATTCGTATACCTTCCCGCATTGACCCTCCTGTCAACCGGGTCGGTATTTCCATTTCCGTAGATCACCACTTACTTCCCTTCGTCCACCGTACACCCCAAGGGCCCACAATGGCCAATATTGGGCGATACTCAACGAGTATGCCAAGCAAGACCTCTTATTAGGTCGAGCTTATTTGTATCTCATGGCTCGTCCAAATCCCCGACCAAGCCCATTGCTGGCTCGAGTCTAAGGACGGCCTATGAGTTTGGGCGTCCCCCATTCATTTGAAAGTCGAGGAGGTTCACTCCAACGACATAAGCATTCATGACATAACATTGCATTTCATTCATTCATTCAATACATTTCATTCATTCATTTGAAATCAGAACGAGTGCGATAAAGTACGCACCCGCTCTTATTTTTAAAACTTTCCACAAATCCCACAATAAGCAAGTATCAAAATTCACACACTTGACACTCACCGAGCAATTCAATAAGAATTATTTCCGGAAGTTCAAGTGTCCGCGGTGAGATCCTCTTGAAGGTCTCCTTGCGCGCCTGGCAATTTAATAGTGGATAATCACACAATTAACCCACTTAACAAGAAAGATTGTACACTAGTACAATCTAAGAATTATTTTGCAAAAAGGAACCTCAATTACACGTAAATCGAGGTTCAACTTGCCTTTTATTAGGTACAATATTATTTGAGTTTTTATCTTGAAAATCGTAAGCAAAACGTTTAAGAATATCAAAAGAATAAAGAGTTCTTGAAAAACTCTATTTCTTTGAAGTTGGAAAATTTTTCAGTTTTACGATAAATCTTTGAAAAATCATAACTCGCTCGGCATAAGTCGAGAATTGAAAAACTTTATACCGTTGGAAACCTCTTAGAGAGTACTATAAGTTCCTAGAAGACACTTTTCCATGAATCAAAGTGAAAAGTGGTCAAAATTGAGCTTGAAGATGCTGGGTTGGTTCACAAGGCAGAATGAAGTTGGATTTTGGCCAACTTTGAAAATTCGGCACGATTCGCACGTTGCAAACCGGCCTCTGAAATTTTCAACTCAATTAGTGTTGCAAGTGAAGTGTAGGACAAAACAAGCGGATCAAAAATCGGAGTTTCGAGCACCGAGATACGGTAGCCCGAAGTTGAGCAAATTCAAGACTGGATGAGGATTTTCCAGATTTGAACCTCTAACTTTAGTAATTCAATTGGGTATCGAAACGAACTTGAATCGGCACCAAAATTGGCGGTATTTCAATACTATATGGAAAGTATCTCTCTATTGAATTTCGGGGAAAAATACCTTCGGCAAGGTAGTTAATGAGCCAACCGAAGTTCAAGAAAATTCCTAAGGCATTCTGCCTTTGACTTTCATTTTCCAAATTTCCAATCGTTTAACCAAGAAGGTTATCCAACCATGGTTCATTTGTAAAATAAGGGTCTAAGATACACCCATAATAACTTTGGTAAGTGTTTAATATCAAAAACATCAACTAACAAGTTCA